ATCAACACAGGAATTAACCAGAGGAGGGAGATCAACACAGGAATTAACCAGAGGAGAGAGATCAACACAGGAGTTTACCACAGGAGGGACATCAACACAGGAATTAACCAGAGGAGGGAGATCAACACAGGAATTAACCAGAGGAGGGAGATCAACACAGGAATTAACCAGAGGAGAGAGATCAACACAGGAGTTTACCACAGGAGGGACATCAACACAGGAATTAACCAGAGGAGGGAGATCAACACAGGAATTAACCAGAGGAGGGAGATCAACACAGGAATTAACCAGAGGAGAGAGATCAACACAGGAGTTTACCACAGGAGGGACATCAACACAGGAATTAACCAGAGGAGGGAGATCAACACAGGAATTAACCAGAGGAGGGAGATCAACACAGGAATTAACCAGAGGAGAGAGATCAACACAGGAGTTTACCACAGGAGGGACATCAACACAGGAATTAACCAGAGGAGGGAGATCAACACAGGAATTAACCAGAGGAGGGAGATCAACACAGGAATTAACCAGAGGAGAGAGATCAACACAGGAGTTTACCACAGGAGGGACATCAACACAGGAATTAACCAGAGGAGGGATATCAACACAGGAATTAACCAGAGGAGGGAGATCAACACAGGTGTTTACCAGAGGACGGAGATCAACACAGGAGTTTACCACAGGAGGGACATCAACACAGGAGTTTACCAGAGGAGGGAGATCAACACAGGAGTTTACCAGGGAAAGTAGATCTATATATATACTCAGAAATGTATCAGAGGAGTGAGATCAACACAGGAGTTTACCAGAGGAGGGAAATCAACACAGGAGTTTACCAGAGGAGGGAAATCAACACAGGAGTTTACCACAGGAGGGAAATCAACACAGAAATTTACCAGAGGAAGGATATCAACACAGGAGTTTACCAGAGGAGAGAGATCAACACAGGTGTTTACCAGATGAGGGAAATCAACACAGGAGTTTACCAGAGGAGGGAAATCAACACAGGAGTTTACCAGAGGACAGAGATCAACACAGGAGTTTATCAGCAGAGGGAGATCAACACAGGAGTTTACCACAGGAGGGACATCAACACAGGAGTTTACCACAGGAGGGAGATCAACACAGGAGTTTACCACAGGAGGGAGATCAACACAGGAGTTTACCAGCAGAGGGAGATCAACACAGGAGTTTACCACAGGAGGGAGATCAACACAGGAGTTTACCACAGGAGGGATATCAACACAGGTGTTTACCAGAGGAGGGAGATCAACACAGGAGTTAACCAGAGGAGGGATATCAACACAGGAGTTTACCACAGGAGGGAGATCAACACAGGAGTTTACCATAGGAGGGAGATCAACACAGGAGTTTACCACAGGAAGGAAATCAACACAGGAGTTTACCAGAGGAGGGAAATCAACACAGGAGTTTACCAGAGGACAGAGATCAACACAGGAGTTTACCAGCAGAGGGGGATCAACACAGGAGTTTACCACAGGAGGGAGATCAACACAGGAGTCGATCAGAGGAGGTACATCAACACAGGAGCTTACGAGAGGAGGGAAATCAACACCGGAGTTTACCAGAGGACGGAGATCAACACAGGAGTTTCCCAGAGGACAGAGATCAACTCAGGAGTTTACCAGCAGAGGGGGATCAACCCAGGAGTTTACCACAGGAGGGCGATCAACACAGGAGTTTACCACAGGAAGGAAATCAACACAGGAGCTTACGAGAGGAGGGAAATCAACACAGGAGTTTACCAGCGGAGGGAGATCAACACAGGAGTTTACCAGAGGAGGGATATCAACACAGGAGTTTACCAGAGGTGGGAGATCAACATAGGATTTAACCAGAGGAGGGAGATCAACACAGGAGTTTACCAGAGGAGGGAGATCAACACAGGAGTCGATCAGAGGAGGTACATCAACACAGGAGTTTACCAGAGGAGAGAGATCAATTGGAAATCAACAATAAAAAAGGAGTTAACAGAAGTCTAATAAGCTACAGGCCTTTACCAAATACATAGTCATTCCTTCATTTTGTGTGATGTGTAAATTGACAATGATCAAGCCAACTTAAGTTTACTACTGTTGCATTCCCAGACATCACGTCACATAATCTAGCATGTGTGAAAACATTCAAAACTTCAAAGGGTGTCTTTTTTAAGTTCAATTACCCAAACCATCCATCCAGGAAAGACTGTCAGCCGTTGTGTGCCATAAATTTTGTTATATTGCATGTTTGTGAGATTTTTTTTGAAATCAGTTCTCTGCTGCATCAAACATGAGTTGAGTGGACATTTAATTTGGCAGAGGCAAATGAAGTTTTCCTCATGAGTGCATGTGTTACCCCTGGGCCATCTGTTCAGAGATATCAACTCAAATTACATGATATATACTTGGACAGGTCTTACACAGCTGGAGAAACTGACTGGCCACATACAGAACAGGCAGCTGCTGATGCAGTTGTCCACAGGCCTAAACTGAAATTCTGTTTTTCCACATTTATTTTCCCTTTGTTTCGGGGGGGGGGGGGTTTTTGACATTTTTTCACTCAGAACACCACTATTGATATTTTACACACAGAACACTGTTATTGACATTTTACACTCAGAACAATGTGATTGACATTTTACACACAGAACAACGTTATTGACATTTTACACACAGAACATCGTTATTGACATTTTACACACATAACGCTGTTATTGATATTTTACACACAGAACACTGTTATTGATATTTTACACACAGAACACTGTTATTGATATTTTACACACAGAACACTGCTATTGACATTTTACACACAGAACA